ATTTAAAAGACGGGTAGGTGAGGTGCTTAGGGCCATGGTTTAGTGGTGGGATGGCAGGGTTAGGTTAAAGGTTGGACGTGATGATCTTAAAGGTCTTTTCCAACCTAGACGATTCTATGATTCTATGATTCTGTGATGTAGCTTGGCCGTAAGGCTTTTGGGGGATGTAGGAGCAAAGCGGGCAGCTTCCCTCTCCCCGTGGCAGAGCTGCGGGCTGGGGGTGGCTGCTGCTGATCAGCGGGCTGGGTCAGAAACCCCTGTGGGATGTGGGCCTGGTGCAGAAGGGGCCAGGGATGGGGCTGGGCCAGGAAGGATGGAAAGACAGTGGATTCCTGGGCAGCAAGCGGGGGCCCTGCTTTGCAGACAGGCTGCTGAGAGCTTCCCACCGGGGCACGCACGTGTGCTACAACCTCCCCGCAGGGTCTGCCCACGTGCAGACATCTGGCCTTGTCCTCTGGCGCTCACAGGGCAGAAGCAGTGTGTCCCCCATCACCTCCTCACCCCTCATTGTCCTTCCTCCCCTGTGCACCCTCGGGTCTACCAGAGCCCCCCGCACCCTGTGCCGTGCAGGGAGAAACTCCAGCAGCATGGTCCCTGCGGTGCTGTGGATGGGCTGGCAGCTTGGGCATCCCCTGGACTCAGGAACCAGGAACTCTTAAACCTGGAGCTTCAGGAAAATATCTGGAAGTGAAACCAGAAAAGGCAGAAAGGGGGGCTGTGACAGCGGGCAGGGGCTGCTTGCTTTCCCCCTTCTGCGTCCGTGCCCATCCACTGGCCAGTCCCCCAGCGGGGCTGTTGGCCGTGTCGGCACTCGTGGTCACCGCTGGCACACTGCGCGTGATGGCAGCATCACGCTTGTATTTGGCGGGGCGCGAGGTGGCACTGGCACAGTCGCTGGGGGTGCTACGAGCCACGCGGCGGAGCGAGAAGCCGTGCCATCTGCTGTTTCTTCGGCATTGAAGTGTAAAGCAAACATAGCTGGGAGCTATGAAACACCAGGAGGGAAGGGGCCGTGCCTTGTTCCAACGCCGGGGCCTGAGGATCCCGCAGGCAAAGCACGTGTTTGTCCTGGTGTCGTCAGCTGTGTAACCGTGCCGGCAACGTAAGCCCGGCTCCGGGGCCTTGCTGAAACCCTCGCATCCAGCGTCTGTCCCTCTTGGCTTCGGTACCCCCAACGGCAGCACTTCACTGGTGACTGTCACGAAAAGCTGTGAAGGGGAGACGCCTCGCAAAGTCGGTTGCAACCTTCTAGCGGCGTTTCCCTCGCGAGCTGTAAGTGAGCAGCTTGCAGGCAGATGCTTGGGTTTACTCCCTGGGTGCGCTGGGACTCCCATGTGCTGTGAGCAGAGAAACGCTTCCGTGGGGGGCAGGCAGGGGCTGCCCAGGTGGGCAGTGCCGGAGCTGGGAGGGGAGTGCAGAGCGCCGAAGCGTGGTGGGTGCTCCCATGCTTGGCCCTGCTGCAAGCGGTTTAATGTTGGAGGGCAGAAAGCTTCCGGGAGGGAGCACGGTGCATTTGAAGGCATTGCTAGGAAGAGCAGTGAACTTCATCTGGGGGTTCCCAGAGAGTTTTCTAGGGGATTCCTTCTTCTAGGAGGCAAAGGGGAAAGGGGGATTTGGGGCGATGCTGCGTTTTTCTGGAAAGTAATTGTAATTCCTGGGCGTCTCCAGGCTCATTGCACCCCCAGCAGAGGATGGGCAAGGGGCGTTTGCATCTCAATGGGTGCTGGGGTGTCGGGTCCTTCCCCTTTGGAGAGTGTGAGGTGACCCTGATCCCTTTTTTTTGGGGAGGGGTGGGGGTGGCTCTGCACAGAGCCCTGGGAAGGGCTTGAGCTGCCTGAGCGGGGCAAGGCAGGGCAGGCAGGACAGGCAGGGCAGACAGGACAGGCAGGGCAGCCTGGCAGTGCCGCCGTGCGGGTAGCGGTGAAATTGCGCCTGCTGCACGCCTGGCTGCTGGCAGGGGACATGGGATTTATCGTCCCCAGGAGCCTGGGCCCTTCCTCTCTCCCAGTAATGGTGCTTTGCACTCATGTGCATGGGGGGGCGGGGGCTGGTGCATTGCTCTGGCACCGTATGGCAGCTCCTCAGCAGCTGGGCATCTCACCGGAGGGCTGGGCAAGCCCACCATCCCTGGGTTTTCCTTCTCCCCATGCATCTGGACAATGGCTGGGGTGAAGTCCCAATGTGGAGACCTGCAGGTCTTCTGCAGGCAGCCTGTGGGTCATCCTGAGCTCATTTTCTGGAGGAAATGGGGGCATGGGGAAAAGTGTGGATGCTGTGCCCCCATCCTAACCCAGCCCAACTGCCCTGGGATGCCAGTAGTGAACGGGCTTCCTTATGTTGAAGCAGAGCTAGCGAGCACCAAGTGTGAAATTCTGGCATCCAGGGACACCCCGAACCACCTCTTGAGGATGGGATGGGGGTGTCTCCGTGGCCTGTGTAATGCTGGGGGGTGCTTAATCCATGCGGGATGCCCTGATCCTGCTCCTCACGCACCCATGGGCTTGCTTGCATAGGACAAATGCCATGCTGTGCCTCCGTTTCCGTGTGCCAAGAGGGAGCTGCGGACTTGGCCCCCTGCCCCATGGGTGGCTGGAGCAGGGCTGTGCTGGCGTGAGGCTGGGGCCAGGCAATGCAGGCGCCTGCCGGGCTCGGAGGAGCTCCTGGCCTTTAGGGTGGGAGAGGGAACAGCAGCACGGGAGCTCTGGGACACAAAAACGCTAGGCAGGTCCCCCTGAGGATGCGGTGAGCTGAGCCAGTCCACCCAGACCCTACTTTGCAGTGAGATTTTTGGCCTTCATGGTTGTTAAAAGCCAGCCCAGGCACAGCGGGGGGTCTGACCCACTGCCAGCCCTGCAAACACAGAGCCCATGCCGGCCCGGCTCTGCAGAGTCAGTGATTGCACGGACGGTGCCAGTGTAGTGATGAAGTAATTAATGACCCGATTATTTGTGCCCTCTGAAGTGCGGGGCAGGCTCCATGGGAATGCCTGCTGGAGCCACTAAGTGTAATTACCAGTTAATCAGCAGGGACCTGTAATTACGGCAGTCACAGGGTATTTCAGTACAGAGGGTTTTCCCAGAGCTGTGCCCTGCTGCTCTGCTTAGCAGAGCTGGGGAGCCCCGGCCACTTGCAGCCGCCATGGATGGAGCTGGACTTGCCTCGGGACGGACAGCAGGGCAGTGAGCAGCCAAGGACCTGAAGCCAAATTATGGTTTCTGAGAGCCCCTTGGGGATCACTGAGTGCCGGGGCATGCCCCTGCCTGTGGACCTGGTCCCACGGAGGATCGTGTTTTGTAGGCACCGCTCATTTTCATTCCTCTTTCTTCTGCAGGGACCTGAGTGAGAACTTCATCCAGGCCATCCCCAGGAAGGCTTTCCGTGGGGCCACTGACCTCAAGAACCTGTGAGTCCTGGTGGGGATGGGCACGGGTGCCACAGGGGAGTTTGGGGTCAGATCTGGTGGCAGGAGGCATCATGAGCCACTGGTCACTCTCTGCCTGGGCTGTCCTAGCAACACTCCTTCCGTCTTTCTCCCGCAGGCAACTGGACAAGAACCAGATCAGCTGCATCGAGGATGGGGCTTTCCGTGCCCTGCGGGGGCTGGAGGTCCTGTAAGTGGCTAGGGGCCAGCTGGAGCCTCCAGCCTGCGAGCCCCATGTGGCATGGGCATGTCCCCGGGTGCTCCCTGCTCACCGAGGCGCTGCGGGGACATCCCCAGCATGCTGTCTCTCCCTGGCCCCAAGGAGGGGCTGAGCAGGGGTCTGGTAACGCTCCTGCGGGGCTGTGCTCCAGGGCCTGATCCTGCCCCAGAGGGTCCGTCTGCCTGCAGCTGGCAGTGGCGGGGAGAACCCTGGAAAGGGCATCAAGCCATGCCCGGGGGTTTGGGCTGTCCCCATCCCTCACCTCTCCATCCCTCCACCCTGTGCTGGGGAGTGGGTGGGTGCTGTTGCTCCCAGGGGCTTGGTGACACCTGCATCATCTCATGCTCCCTTTTACCGCCGCCCTGACCTGCCCCCCTCTGCCTTCCCACAGGACCCTGAATAACAACAATATCACTTCCATCCCTGTGTCCAGCTTCAACCACATGCCCAAGCTGCGGACGTTGTGAGTGCTGGGACTGTGACAGCGGGAGGGACCGCCGGGCTGGCGTGGGATGTCCCCAGCTCTGCTGCTGGTGTCAGCAGCTCAACAGTGCTGGGACAGCACTGTGGGGAGGGGATGGAGGGGACACCCCTGCAGAGCATCCCCAAGCACTGCCAAGCAAGGTGGCCTCTGCAGCCAGCACAGATGCTCTCGGGCTCCTCCGTGTCCCCCTCTGTATGCCGCTGGCCTTTGGGATGAGCCAGGCTGGGGCAGCCGGAGGGCAGGGGGGTGGGCAGGAGCCATCCCGTGGCCGCTGACTGCCCCGTCCCCCCGCAGCCGCCTCCACTCCAACCACCTCTTCTGCGACTGCCACCTGGCCTGGCTGTCGCAGTGGCTGCGCCAGCGCCCCACCATCGGGCTCTTCACCCAGTGCGCCGCTCCAGCCCAGCTCCGCGGCCTCAACGTGGCTGAGATCCAGAAGAACGAGTTCAGCTGCTCTGGTGAGGAGGAGGGGGGAGGCGGTGGGTGCCAGGGCAGGGACACGGGTTGGGGGGACAAAGCCTGTCCCATTGATGCAGCCCACCTCCACTCCCTGCTGTGTGCCCCAGCTCAGAGCCTGACTGCACGCCGGGGGCTTGGTGCAGGTACAGCATGGGGACACCACCACCCCATCAGTGTGACAAGGGGTGCATCAGTCTGTGCCCTTGGAGCTGCATGCCTTTTGCATGGGGTTGGGGCACACCAGGACCTTGTGCACCCACTCAAGGGTGCCATGAGCTGTCCTGGTACGCTGAGCTGTCACCAGAGTCCCTTCCTCGGGGCGCTGCCATCCACCTGCCTGCCCCAGCTCTTTGCAACTCCCATGCTGGCCACTTCCCCGGCAGGACAAACAGACCCGGCACGTGTCCAGCTCTGCAGCTTGTCCTCTGGCTCCTGCCCGGCCATGTGCACTTGCAGCAACGGCATCGTGGACTGTCGGGGCAAGGGGCTGACGGCCATCCCTGCCAACCTGCCTGAGACCATGACGGAGATGTGAGTACAGCCCCGTGCTGTCACCGCTGGGCTCTGGGTGGCTCGAGGCAGTGGGGACGCGGGCACAAGCCCTAAGGCTCAGCCACCCCGCAGGGCGTGCAGGGCGGCAGGCCTTGCCCTTCTCCCGTGCTGCCCAGATTTAGCCCTGGATTTAGCTGCATTAAAAATGTAAATAGAGAAATAATCTCCTTAGGGGAATCCAATTATGGAGCAAAGCCCCCGCTGGGATGGCACAGAGAGCACGTGGGAGGCAGCAGGCGCCCCCAGAGCCAGGGTGCTGGGGGGAGGAGGTGGTCCCCCCACCCCAACCAGAGTGGTCCCCCCACCCATGGCACCCCTCCCTGCTGCAGAAAGCCCCAGCCACAGGCTGGAAGTTTTCCCTGGGGTGAATGGTGCCAGGCTGGTGGGGTAACTTACTGCAAGCCTGGGGGTCTTGCAGCCCACCCAGCCCTGTCAGTGGGGTGCTGGGGCTCGGCCAACACTACAGCCCTCATCTCTCCCCCTTCTCTTTGCAGACGCCTGGAGCTCAATGGCATCAAGTCCATCCCCCCAGGCGCTTTCTCCCCCTACAAGAAGCTGCGGAGGATGTAAGTGTGTGGTCCCTACCAGCTCACCCCAAACCCCAGCACCCTTCACCCCGCTGTCCACTGCCGTGAGCTTAGAGCCCCCTACTCGGGGGCACGGGGCACTTGCCATGACATGGGTGCCCCAAGAGGCAGCATTGGGCTGGGGTCTGGGAGACCCCCAGTTCTGTATATAGGCTGCTGGGGGTGGTCCCCTGGACCCAGCAGGAGGGTGGGGGCATGGAGCGAGAGAAGAGGGGTCCAGGCCACCTTCTCCCTTTGGGTTTCAGAGACCTGAGCAACAACCAGATCTCAGAGATCGCCCCCGACGCCTTCCAGGGACTGCGCTCACTGAACTCCCTGTAAGTGCCCGCACTGGGGTGTGTGGGGTGAGGTGGGGTGGACGCTGTGCCCGCTGAACCATGCCCCACACTGCTTCCCCCATCCCTCTCACACCAGCCTTCCTCTCCCAGGGTGCTGTACGGCAACAAGATCACGGATCTCCCCAAGGGTGTCTTCGGGGGACTTTTTGCCCTGCAGCTGCTGTAAGGCACCGGTGGCTGGGTGGGGTGCCCTGCAGGGACACCGGGACCTGGGGCTGAGGTCTTCAACGCCTGTGATGCGGTGAAGGGGGACCCCAGCCTCACCTCCCTCCCTCTCTACCAGGCTCCTCAACGCCAACAAGATCAACTGCGTACGGGCGGATGCCTTCCAGGATCTGCAGAACCTCTCGCTGCTTTCCCTCTACGACAACAAGATCCAGAGCTTGGCCAAGGGCACCTTCACCTCCCTGCGGGCCATCCAGACCCTGTGAGTGCCCGCATTGGCTCTGATGCCCGGGTGGGCGGCCACCTGGGGGGAAGCACCCCGGCGGTGTGTCACCTGCTGTCCCCGGTGCAGGCACCTGGCCCAGAATCCCTTCGTCTGCGACTGCAACCTGAAGTGGCTGGCAGACTTCCTCCGCGCCAACCCCATCGAGACCAGCGGCGCCCGCTGTGCCAGCCCCCGGCGCCTGGCCAACAAGCGCATCGGCCAGATCAAGAGCAAGAAGTTTCGCTGCTCTGGTGAGAGCCGTCCCTGTCCCCATCACGGGCGCCCTGTGGCACGGCTGTCCTCAGCCCTGCCCCAGCCTGGCATCTGTGTGCCCAGGGTGCTGATGTGCTTTTTATCTCCGCAGCCAAAGAGCAGTATTTCATCCCAGGTAAGAGGAAGAGCCGCACGCCTGTGTGCATGGCTGCATGTGCAGTGCCCTTTCAGCCAGGCTGCCTGCGGGGGGGGTCGTGCCAGAGCCCTGTGGTCTGGCCTGGCAGGACCACACTGCATTTCCCATCATTTCTGGTTGCTGTGTTCCCAGGTGCCACGATAACAAAAGTGCTGGGTACTGGGATGTGTTGCAGCATCTCCCATCATGCCGTTATTCGGATGGGCACAGGGGCGTCCCCAGGGTCTGGCCCTGGTCGTAGGAGGGGAGAGGGTGGTGGGCAGCACAGCACCCCACATACCTGGGACAAATATCCCTCGCTTTGGGCACACGGAGGGGTAATGAGGCTGGGATGGGGGTAGGTGAGGAAGTGACCGAGACCGGCTGGGGGTGTGGGAGAATCAGAGGAGGGGAGGGCGGGTGCAGCCCCCTGTGCCTCCCCACATGGCCCTCGCTGGTGCGCAGGAACAGAGGATTACCAGCTGAACAGCGAGTGCAACAGCGACGTGATCTGCCCCCCGAAGTGCCGCTGCGAATCCAATGTGGTTGAGTGCTCCAACCTGAAGCTCACCAAGATCCCCGAGCGCATCCCACAGTCCACGGCCGAGCTGTAAGCACCTCCTCCCTCCCATCCCGCTTTCCCTCCTGCAACTGGACCATTGCCGGCGCTGGGGTTTGGCTCAGGGTTTGGTTTGTGCCAGGCCCTTCGCAACCATCTCCTGAGCTCTTTTCCCTGCCACCCACCCCAGGCGCCTGAACAACAACGAAATCTCCATCCTGGAGGCCACCGGCATCTTCAAGAAACTCCCACATCTGAAGAAAATGTGAGTATCGGGCAGGCGCAGCCCCCCTGAGAGTGCCCAGGGGCTGGAAAGGCACGTGGGGGTCCTGATGCCAGGGCAGCCTGGGGTGTGAAATGGGGGACACGTCCTGACCCAACAGTCCCCTGAGGGACTGGGTATCATGGGGTGCTTGGTGGGGTCTGGGGGAGGCAGGGTTCAGGATGAGGTTGAGGCAGAGTTCCCCATCCCAGCCTGCTTTCCCCTCTCTGCAGCAACCTCAGCAACAACAAGGTGTCGGAGATCGAGGACGGGGCATTCGAGGGGGCATCCTCCGTCAGCGAGCTGCACCTCACCGTCAACCAGCTGGAGTCAGTGCGGAGCGGCATGTTCAGGGGCCTGGATGGGCTGAGGACCCTGTGAGTCCCCCCCCTTCACCGTGGGCACAGGGATGGGGACGTCCCTGCTCCTTGCTCCCCTGCCCTGCCCATGCTGCTGGGTTGGTGCTGTCTGCATCACTGCGGGGCCACCTTGGGAGCACCTTGCCCATCCTCTGGCCGTATCCAGAGCTGGGGGGGGTGGGGTTTTGCTGCTCAGGGACTGGCTCGGGCTCCTCCTGCTGCCTGGCAGCGAGGTGGGCACAGCCTGGGCACTGCCAAGGTGGGTTTCCCCCATGGCGCCCGCCCAGTTCATTAGGTGCCCTTGTCCTCTTCCCTCCACAGGATGCTGAGGAACAACCGCATCAGCTGCATCCACAACGACAGCTTCACGGGGCTGCGCAACGTCCGCCTGCTCTCCCTGTATGACAACCAGATCAGCACCATCGCGCCGGGTGCCTTTGACACGCTGCAGTCCCTCTCCACGCTGTACGTCTCGGGCCCCAGGGCGGATGCTCTCAGGCGGTCCCCATCGTGGCGGTGGGGCTGCGGCCGGTTCCCTGGCCCGGTGGCTGCTCAGGTGATGCCTTCGCGCTCCCTCCTGTGTGCAGGAACCTGCTTGCCAACCCCTTCAACTGCAACTGCCAGCTGGCCTGGCTGGGGGACTGGCTGCGCAAGAGGAAGATCGTGACGGGGAACCCGCGCTGCCAAAACCCCGACTTCCTCCGGCAGATTCCGCTCCAGGACGTGGCCTTCCCCGACTTCAGGTGTGAGGAAGGTAACTCACGGGCCCTGCGGCTCCGGGGGCGAGGGGGGACTGGGCTGTTCCTCCTGGGTCGGCACCATGCTCCCCGTCCCAGCACCATCCCTGCTCCTGGGATGTCCGGCAGTGCCCCACGGCACTCTGGTGGCTCGAGGAGTCCCTCAGCCCGTTAACACCCCCCCTAATGATGCACATCTTTCCCTTGCTGGTACCCAGCCCTTAAGGGCTGCACTCAAATACCCACGGGCTGCTCTGAAGTGAGAGGAGTTTGCACCCACCAAACTGTGTGGCCCTTGTACGTAGGCAGGTCCGTGCTGGCAAACACTGTGCCCTGGGTGCTGGCAAGGGCAGACGTGTAGGCAAAGCCCGCTGGGATTCATCCTGCTCCTTCCCTCCTTCCCCTCCCAGCCCTGCACACGCGCTGGAGCCGGGCAGATGGAGCAGTTGGAGAGTGCGCATGTCAAGAGAAAAGCCTTTTTTAATTTATTTTTTTAATTTAGAACAGCTTTTTGAGGCCTCTGGAAAATATTTACAAACAAATCATCATTTCTTCTGCTTTCCCTCCTCCACCACGTCAAAGACTGAAGGGTTGCATCCTGCGCCTTTCCTGGTGGTGTGAGATAACATACGGTTGTCCCGGGGATGCCTCTCCCACAGGAGCCCAGCACTGCAGCGGGGAAGGGGGAGCAACGCCGGCTCCTCCGGCTGCTTGGCGCAGGCACAGGGAGATGTCTGAAGGTTATTTCAGGAGGATTTTCCAGGGCTGAGCCCCTTCCCATGTGCCCTCCTCTCTGCTGTTCCTGGGCCTGCATTCTTGCTTGAAAATGGTGAAAATCAGAGCAGCGTGGAGCTGGCTGATTGCATCCATCCTGGTAGGGCAGGGCAGTTTCTGGGCGCAGGAGTGATTCCTGCACCGCTGACTCTCAGCCAAGCTGGGGCTATTCCCTGCACGCAGGCTGCCTGCAGCACCCAGTTTTGGAGGCAAGGGGAGATGGTCGGCGTGGGAAAGGAGCAGTCCTAGGCAAGCACGGGGCGCCGAGTCCAGCCTCACACGATGCCTGCATCCATCCTGGTAGGGCAGGGCAGTTTCTGGGCGCAGGAGTGATTCCTGCACCGCTGACTCTCAGCCAAGCTGGGGCTATTCCCTGCACGCAGGCTGCCTGCAGCACCCAGTTTTGGAGGCAAGGGGAGATGGTCGGCGTGGGAAAGGAGCAGTCCTAGGCAAGCACGGGGCGCCGAGTCCAGCCTCACACGATGCCTGAAGGCTGGGCCCTGGTGACTTTGTGGCTCTCTGTGCCCGGCGCAGGTCAGGAGGAGACCAGCTGCATCCCCCGGCCCCAGTGCCCACAGGAGTGCACTTGCCTCGACACCGTCGTCCGCTGCAGCAACAAGCACCTCAAGGCCCTGCCCAAGGGGATCCCCAAGAACGTCACGGAGCTGTGAGTGGCAAGCGAGTGCCCAAGCTCTCCCCTTGACCTCCAGCGACTTTGTGGCTCTGGGTGGGGGGGCATCTGCGG